ANGCCACACCACACACCCCACCCCCCGCTGGGCCCCACCTTGATGGCCACCTCTGGGTAGGTGCCCGTGTCGTGGTCGCGGCGGCTCAGGTCGCGGGCACGGAGCACCGAGGAGAACACGCCCTTGCCGTGCGCCGCATACACCTCGTACTGCGCGCCGCCCGCCTCGCCAATCACCTCGCCCACCTGGCGGGGGAGGCGGGAGGTGGGGTGGCAGGCGCATGCCAAGCAGGCGTCAGCAACCCCCTCCTCTGCCCGCCACGCTGCGAGAGCAGAGAGCCCGATGCATGCCAGAGCAGACCAGAGCAGAGCCCCCTGGCATGAGATGCGGCCATCATGAGGCTTGAGATGCTGCCGAGCTCCACCCCCCACCACACACGCCAGCCAGCCAGCCACAGGGGCACCCCACCTGGAAGTTGTAGTACCCCTCCGCGTCGTCGTAGTTGTCCAGCAGGCCCTTGCGCGCCCCCGCAGCAGCCACGGCGGCCTGGCCAGCCTGCAGCAGCAGCGGAACAACAGGCGCACTGGCTCCCACCTGCCCTCCTTCACAGAGCACAGCGGCGGGCCGCCGGGCACGCGACGTGTGGTGCCATGCCACAGCTGCCACAGCCAGGCAGCCAGGCAGCAGGCGCGCTGCGCTCGCCCTCCCGCCAAGCCCGGGCGCCGCACCTGCGCCGCCGCCGCCGCCTCCTTCTCCTTGACGTCGGTGGGGGTGGCCGCAAAGATGTCGTCGGCGCCGCCCTCGGCAAACATGTCTGGCTCGGCGGCCTGCCGCGCCGCCACCCGCCGCCCCAGCTCCGTATCCACAGCCTCGCCGATGCCTGCAGGCCAGGAGGGGGAGGGAGGGGCCGGGGGCTGGATGAGAGGGCAGCAGCAGCGGCTGGGGCGAGGGGAGCTCAGGCGGAGCAGCCACGGCATGCCCAGGGAAAGCGCCACACCAGCACCTGCCACCCAGCACCTGGACCAGCACCCCCAGCCCTCGGCACCAGCCCAGCCAGCACCGCCCACTCACCCGACTTGGGCATCTCGCTGGCCTCCCCCGCCTCGGGGCCGCCCTCGCCGCCGCCGCCGCCGCCGCCGTCGTGCCTGAAGATGTCCAGCGCCCCCGCCTGCGTGGTGCCCAGCTGCGCCACAACCGCCTCCTCGTTGTCCGACAGATCCACATCGCCCTCGCCCTCCTCCGCAGCGGCAGCCTCGCCGCCGCCGGCCGCGCTGGACGGCCGGCTGCGCGTGGGCGTGGCGTGCGCAGAGGGCGACGCGGTGCCTGCCGCCGCGGTCGGCGTGCCCGCCGCCGCCGCCGCCGGCGCAGACGCTTGCCCCGTCGCCGCCTGCTGCGCCAGCTCGGTGGCTGTGGGCGCCGCCGCCATCTGGTCCAGGCCCTGCTGGGAGCGGTGCTTGGCCAGGATCTCCTGCCGGCGCCGCCGCCGCTCCTCAATCAGCCGGTCCTCCTCCTCGTCGCCCTGCTCCAGCGCCGCCGCCACGCGCCGCTGGAACTCCTCCTCCTCCTCCTGCAGGCAGCAGCGCAGCAGCAGCGGCGGCTGTGTGCACATGCAAAAGACGGCTGGCTGGGCGAGGAGTGGTGGCTACGTGCAGAGGCACCGCTGGTGCGAGGCTGCATGCTGCCATCCAGCCGAGGAGTGGCCTGCAAGCAGTCGCACTGACATGGCCAGCTGCGAGCAAAGCTGGCGCCAGCCTCCCCACCTCCTTCTTCTCGTCATGAGGCTGCCTGCGCTCGTCGCTGCGGGACCGCTTCCGCGCGTCGCGGCTGCGGTCCTGGCTGCGGCTGCGCGGCCGGTGGCGGTCGTCAAAGCGGCGGCGGTCGTCAAAGCGGCCTCCCCCTGGGCCGCCAAACCTGCCGCCGGGGAGCACAGGCTGGTGAGCAGCTGGGAGGTGTGTTGCCAGCAGTCCAGTCAACTCCACAACGCCCCGTGAATGCCGAGGGTGCTGGCAGGTGAGGCGCGACAGCCAGCCCAGCCCAGCTCACCTGTTGCGCCCAAAGTCTGGTCGCCGGTCGTCCCGCCTGTGGTCCAGCTCGCGCCGGAAGTCCCTGCACCCAGCACAGGCACGGTGAGCTCCAGCCGACTCCACATGTAGGAAGGATTGCAGGTCCCTGCCAATGCATGCAGCAGGTGCAAACATGGCTAAGCTGGGCCAGCAGCCGCCAGGCAATCCCAGGCGCCGCACCTGTCGCGAGGTGGGAGCGGCGGTGGGGGGGCCCGGTCCCGGTCCCGCCCCCGGCCCTCCGCCATGCGCCGGTCAGGCGACCTGCTGCGGCGTCGGGGCGGCGACCTGCTGCGCCGCCGCTCCGCGGACCTGCTGCGCAGCCGGCTGCTGCCCCGCTCCCTGCCACCAGCATCCCGCGACCGGTCCCGCTGGGCATGCTGCTCTGCCGCTGCAGGGCCCGAGGCGTCGCGCCGCGCAGGCCTGTCTGCTGGCGAGCGTGAGCGGCTGCGTGAGCGGCTGCGCCTGGTGCTGCGGTCGCGCGAGCGGTCGCGGCGGCTGCGGTCCGCAGCGCCCGGTGCTCCGGCGCTGTCGGGAGAGCGGCGACGCCTCTCGGGGGAGCGAGAGCGCCTGCGAGCAGGGGCGCCGGGGCCAGCGTGAAACAATGCAGGCATGGTCAGGCCTGCTGGCGTGGAAACGGCGCTGCTGGCGTGGAAACAAACCAGTAAACAGAAGCGTGCTGCGGTGTGCTGCTAAGGCTGTCGCACACGCAGGTCAGCGGCAGGCAACCCCTCGCCCAGGTGCCCACCCCACCTGCTCCGCTCAGCCTGCTCCTCTAGCCTGCGCGTCTCCTCGCCCGCCTCGGCAGGCGGCTCGGCAGGCAGCTCCCCCTCCTCCGCGTCCTCTGCGGCCCCTGCTGCAGCGGCAGTAGCAGTGGCGGCGGCAGGCTTGGCGGCACCAGCGAGCGGGGGCGCGGGCTCGGGGGCCTCCCCACCCCGACCCGCCTCATCATCAGGCACCGCTGCAGCGGCTGCGGCTGCGACTCCCGCTGCTGGCTCGGCTGCGGCCGGCTGGGCCGCTGCTCCTGCCTCATCGTCGTTGGAGCCGCCCTCTTGGGGCGTCCTGGACCGGGTGCGGCTCCTGTGCCGCTCCTTCTTGTGCTTCTTGTGCTTGGACTTGTCCTTGTGCTTGTGCTTCTTCTCCTTCTTCTCCTTGTGCCGCTGCTCGGGCTCGACCGACTCAACAGGAGCTTTCTGGCCAGCTGCAGGCTCTGGGGCGGGTTCCACCATGTCAGGCCCGTCCCAGCAGGTGCCGGGCGCCAGGCCAAGTGCAGTCAGCGCCCCAGAGGCCTACCAACACTGCCGGTGCCTCCTAGGAGCTGACAGGCTAGACTGTTTTTCCCAGGACACGTCTGGCAAGAACAGGAGCGTGGCGATGGCGCAAGAAACGCCCTGCAGGACTCCACCGCAAGTACGGCACTACACCGCTGGCGGCGCCTGGCAGACAGCCTCAGCCGTCAGAGAGCCTTGTTTGCGCATTCGAGCGACCTATCTGGAGGTCAGTGCACGTTACACAAGGTCTTTAGCAGTCAGCGGTCAATGTACACCTCCAGAGCAGGCGCGGCACGGCAGGCGGGCACGCCGCCCCACGTCGTCAGTCCCAGGCAGGCTACTGGTCAAGCTTGATGGCCTTCACCGCCTTGGCGATGGCGCCCTGCAGCGCGGCGTTGGCCTTGGAGGTGGGCTTGGCCAGGCGCCCGGCGTCGGTGAGCACGCGGTGCAGCGCGGCGCGGTGGTCGGGCGTGACGGGGCGCTCCGCCACGTCAGCCGCCAGCAGCGCCAGGTACTCTGCCGCGCTGAAGCGGTGCGGCCGCTCCGCCACCGTGGCCACCAGCCCCTCCGCGCTGTACGTCAGCAGCGTGTAGTACAGCTTGGCGCGGTCGAACTGGCGGGCGGCGTCCGGGCGGAAGGTGGCAGCGGGGCCGGCGGCGCCGCCGCCGCCGCCCACCCCGCACAGCGCGGGCTGCAGGCTGGCCAGCATGCGGCACATGCGGTGCACCCCCAGGTGGTTGAGGCCGCGGATGTCGGGCAGCAGCCAGACCACCATGCGGGCGGCGGCGGAGGCCAGAGAGCCAAACACATAGGCGCGCTTGTGGGGCGCAAGGTACGGCTCCAGCCCCTCATCCAGCCGCCCCACCAGCCTGCAGGCCAGCAGCGGCGCGAGGCGGGCAGGGGCAGGCAGGCGGGTCGCACCTCCGAGCACCAGGTCGCGCCCACGGCATGCGGCCCCCAACCCTGGCACATCTGCCATGCTGGATCCATGAGTGCAGCTGCTCCACCTCCCCACCTACCACCCCACCCCACCCACCTGGCCAGCGCCGCCACGCACTCATCCACCTCCCGCGCCTCCTCCTCCGCCCGGCACACATACGACGACCTGGGCAGCTGCTGCAGGTGGTGCAGCACCAGCAGCAGCAGGTCGAGGCGCAGCGCGCGCACGCACTGCCCCGCCAGCGCCCGGTAGCGGTCGCACAGGTGGCTGAGGCCCTCGGTCAGAGCCCCCGCCTCGCCGCCCCCCGCCTTGCGCCACGTCTTGAATCGGCCGCCCAGCAGCTGCTGCTGCCAGCTGGGCCCCGAGGCGGCGGGACCGCCGCCACCTCCCGCCTGCGCCGCCGACGGCTCGCCCGCCAGCGGGGTGGCCGCCCCGCTGCCGCCGCCGGTGCTGCTGCCTTCGGTGCTGAGCCGGTCGATGTGCCGCGTGGCCAGCAGGCTGGGTCCCGCCATGCCGCCGTCCGCTCTGCCGCCGCCGCTGCCACCCGGGGCGGTGCAGCGGAGGATCACCTCGGCCACATAGTCCAGGCTGTCGCTGAGCGCCGCCAGGCTGGCGAGGCGCGCCACGTCGCCGCCGCCCGACAGCAGCGCGCCTGCCGCCACGGGCCGCTCCCCCAGCAGGCGCCGCAGTATGTCGCACTCCACGCCCTCGTCGTTCGCGCCAAAGCCGGCCGCGATGACCGAGGACACAAAGGCCTCCATGGCCTCTGCGGGGTGTGGGTGGGGGTGTGGGGGTGGGTGGGGGTGGGAGAATGGGTGCTTGGTGGTGCTCATGTCGACTGAAGCAAGGAGCTCAAGTGAGGTAGGGCCGGCCCAGTCCACCCACCCACGCCCCCTTCAGCACCCTCATGCCAGCCCCCCACACCAGCCCCGCCACCCACCCGTGTTCCTGCCCACGAAGAAAGCCACCGGCGAGCCCAGCAGCGCCGCCGCCGGCTCCTTTGCCATCAGCTGCACCACCGGCAGGCTCTCGGCCAGCCGCCCCGCGGCGCTGCCGCCCAGCAGCGCCGTCATGTGCGCCTCACACGCGTCCACCACCCGCCCCAGCACATTCTCCACCACGCCTGCAGGCAGCAGCGGAGGCGGCGGCAGCAGGGACATGGGTGGGTGGATGCTCCAGAGCGGCGGGAATGCATTCCCAGCGGCGCTCCCCACCACGCTCAGCCTCCCTGTCCCTCCGAACCGATCCCTGCTCCTTCCAGCCACCAGCCCCCGACTCCCAAGCCGCACCTAAACACACCCACACACACAGCCACATACACGCACACACACACACACACACACCAGGCCTCTCACCCGTGAGATGTGTGGCAAAGGGTGGCACCTGCGCCGCCCACCCCAGCAGCTCCTCCACCATGCGCTCGGCGGCCAGCGCGGCAGGCAGCACGGGCCGCCCCTCGCCGCCCGCCCCAGCCTGGTACGGCGCGCGCAGGCGGCTGCGCGGCTTGAACGCGTCGCCGTCCTCCAGCGCAGAGGTGCACCGCGCCCTGCGGCGGCACATGGTGCGCCCGAATAAATGCCACACGGTGGCAGTGGGCGGCCCCCACCGCTCGCCACTCGCTGCCTTGCCCGGCGCCGCAGCCTTGCCAATCCAGCGCGGCCCGCCACCCCGCCGGCGGGGCACCCCCGCCCGCCTACCTGGCGCTGACGTAAACTGCAGGCAGGAACTCCATGCGCAGGAAGCTCTCTGTGTAGCTTCTGAGCAGGCAGCGCTCCGCGGGCGCCACCTCAGCGCCGCCGCGCCACGGCATGCTGAGCAGCGCCGCCATGCGTCCGCCCGGCTCGGCGCCGGCGCCCGCCAGGCCGCTGACGTGGCGCTCTGCTGCCTCGGCGAATGCCAGTACAGGACGGTACAGGCTGGCAACCAGGGCGGGACCGCCCGGGTGGCCCCCCAGGATGGCGCGGATGCGGTCCCGCAGGTCCCCGCCATCGCCGCCGCCGCCAGCCCCGCCGCCGTCGCCGCCGCCGCCGCCCGCCGCATCTGGCGAGCGCGCCAGCAGCCCCCCCACTTCGTGTTCCAGAGAAAAGGACAGGGTGCCTGCCTCTGTGGCAGAGGCTGCAGGCGAGGCCGCCTCCAGCTCGCTCCCCACAGACGCCAGCCAGCCCGCCAGCGGCACATCGCCCGCCGCCTCGTCGCCGCGCTGCGCCTGCTGCGTCGGCGCCGGCGCGTCCAGCAGGCACGCCAGCAGCCGCTGGCACTCCACCTGCATGCACTCCCAGGCCGCCGCCACCTCGGCTTGGGCGGCCTCCGCTCCCGGGGGGCCCGCGGGCGCCGCCGCCGCCGCCGCTGCCACCGGGTCGGCGCCAGGCGGCTGGGCCGCCGCGGCCTGCTGCAGCTGGCGCTGGTGGTGCTGGCGCAGCAGGAGCTCCAGGCCCGAGGAGGCCTTGGGCACACGTGCCACAGACAGCATCTGCAGCAGCCGGGTCACTTGCTGGAAGACCTGCAAGGCCAGGCGGGCGGGCAGGCGGGCGGGCAGGCAGGCGGGTGAGTGGGTGAGCAACAGCAAACACTGCCCAGTGCGCAGGGCTGGTGCTGCAGGCATGGGGCAAGTGTGCATGCTTGCGCCGGCGGCGGCGCGGCCGCATGCTGGCACCCCACCTGCATGCAGCAGGCGAGCACGTGCTCCAACAGGGCCGCCGCCACCGCCGCCACCGCCGGCGGCACAGAGATGTCGTCGCCGCCGCCGCCGCCGCCCTGCGCCTCCTGCTGCTGCTGCCGCCGCTGCTGCCGCGCATGCTCATCCGGGGGCAGGCGGTGGGAGGGCGGGAAGGAGTCGAGGGCGCGGGCGATAACGGCGCGCAGCTGGCGCGGCATGTGGCGCCGCACCGCCTGCTGCGCGTCATGCAGGCCGCCCAGCTGAGCCACGCAGTCCACCAGCGCTGCGGGTGAGGTGGCGGGCAGGCAGGCAGGCGGGCGGGCAGGCAGGCAGGCAGGTGGGCAGGCGGGCAGGAGGGCAGGCTGCTGGGCAGGGCAGGGAGCGAATGCACGGCACAGCGGCAGCAGGAACGACAGCGCGCCCCTTCAACAGACCCCGCCCTGGCAGCCGCATCCACTCTGTGCTCAGGGACCCAGCAACCACAGTCGTGCCCCAACCCCCCTCCTGGCAGCCGTCCCCCCTCACCCGACAGCGGCAGCTCCGTCTCCACCAGGTGCCCATCCACAGCGGTCAGCCCCGAGGCCGCAGGCATGAGGCCTCCCAGCGTCTGCGCCCGCCGGTGCGTGGCCCGCCGCGGCAGGCTGGCCACACTGGCCAGCTGGTCGCCCGCGGCCGCCGCCGAGGCGGAGGCTGCGGCCCCGCCGTCCCGCCCCCAGCTGGGCGCCCTGCCCAGCGGCCCGCCGCCTGGCGGGCGTGGAGGCAGCCCCCGCGCGCTCAGGTTGCCCGCAGCGCTGGCAAACTCGCCCTCCTGGCTGCTGCCGTGCCGGTGGAAGGGCGGCAGCGCCAGGCGCGGCACCCCGCCGCCGCCCACCTCCCCGCCGCCCGCCGCCAGCAGGCTGCCGCCGTCTGCGCCGCCGCGGGGGCCGGGCCCTGGCCCCTGTCCCACCCCATCCAGGCGGTACGCCCTGCCCTCCAGCTCAGCCACCAGGCTGGCCTGCAGGGCGGTGCGCCGCCGCCCCATCTCCTCGCCCACCTCCCCCAGCGCCCCCACAGCCTGCAACTCCTGGCGGGCGAGCTTGTTGCAGCCATCCAGCAGCAGCGACACAGCCATGGGCCACTCCTGCAGGCGGGGAGTGGGAGGAAGGAGAGCCGCGGTGGCAGGCGAGCAGGCAGCGGGCAGCAGGCAGGGACGGCAGGGCGGGGAGCACGCTGCCGCTCCAGCCCAGGCTGACGGGGCAGCCTCCAGGCGCTGCCTGCAAGCCGGCAACACTTGCTCTCGCCCCCACACACCGCTCGCACCCGCCCTCACCCACCCCACCCACCCACCACTCGCACCCGCCCCACCCACCCTCACCCTCGCCCTCACCACCCCCACCTTGCTCTCCTCCAGGCGCGCCACCCTGGCGGGCACATCCAGGCACCCCTGTATGTCGTCCAGCAGGCGCAGCGTGTCTGTCAGCATGAGGTCCCGCTGGTACTGCGCCACCATGTGGCGGGACTGCGCCCCCAGCCGCCGCCGGGCAGACTCCAGAGACCGACGCAGCGAGTCCAGCTGCGCGCCAGAGGGAGGCGGGGGTGGTGCGGCATGGGGGGTGGGGGGGGTGGGAGTGGAGGGAGGGTGGGGTGGGTGAGGGCGGGCGGGAGC